GATGGAGTGAGGTTATGTGTCCCCCAAAGACTCATGCCTTGAAAGCTTACTCTTCAGTGCAGCTGTGTTCAGAGGGGGAGTCTAGAGAGGCGACCGAGGCTCTGGTGTCATTAAGTGGACTAATCTGGCTATGAGATAGCATTTGATGGCCTTACTGGGAAGCAATGGAAACAGAGGAGGATGCCTACTTGAAGGGAGTGTGGGTGTGAACTTGGGACGGCATCTGGTCCCCAACCTCCTCTTCTCAGGTTCTCTTTCTACGCTGTTTTCTAGGTGCCAAACCCAATGTAAACAGCTTTCTTTGGCCAGGCCCTTCTGTCATACTTTTTTTTTTTTTTCCATTTTTCATTTTCTTTTTTGTTTTGATTCTGGGAACTGAACCCAGGGCCTTTGTACTGAGTTATATCCCACAATTCTTGTTTTGTTTTTTATTTTGACAAAGAGCCTCACTGAGTTACTGAGTTGCTCAGGCTGGGCTCAAATTTGCGATCCTCCTTCCTCAGCCTCCTGCCTGCACAGCTGGTTCCACCATCATGTTTCTGTGTCACCACAAGCCTAATGGAGCTCACTGACAAGGACCTGAAACCAGAAGCCAAAATAACCCTTTCTTCCTTTAAGCTGAGCGTCTCAGGTATTTTGTCACAGCAATGGATGCTAACAGATATCACTAGGATAAGAATGAAGTCTACAGGGAGACCATGCATCCATCCCACAACACAAACCATCCTGGACTTCTGACTTGCACTCACGGCCTGCTCTCACATCACCTGCCCCTGAATTGTGAGCCCCTGAATTATGAGCCCCTGAATTGTGAGCCCCTGAGCTGCATTACACCCCTCACCACCCATGTGTTGGAATCCCTGTGATGGGCAGAGACCAGTGATCAGGCCTGAGAGTTTGCACAGCGCAGTGATTCTGGGGGATGGGATTAAGTCCCAGTGCTAATACTTAGGAGCCTTGTAGCCTTGGACAATCACTTCACCTCTCTGTGCCTCAACTTTGCATTTGTAGAATGGGAACAATGGTAAAGCTGACAGCTCACAGAGGTGCTTGGAAATGAACCGAGTCACAGTGAGATGTTCACAGGAGCTTCAGCTACACGGCGGCACAGTCGCCAGCAGCACCCCTGAAACACCCTCCCCATCTCCAGCCTAAGTCGGTATGACCACTCTGCTTCACTCTGGGGTCTATAGAGGACAGCAGCAGCAGAAGGGACAGGGACACATAGGCACAACCCAAGCCCTCCACTTGCCAGTCTTGTACATGGGCATCAGATTGGAACATTCCTGAGATGCTGAGGGCTCTGACTCTTCCCTTGTGGTCAGAGGAAACAGCAGCAGAAGGGCTCAGGCCTTGCTGGGTCACACAGTAGAGCAGAGGCAGGCAGGGTGGGGGCCCCAAGTCCCGCTCCTCTCACAGCATCCTCTGCCTCCGAGGAATGATGTCAGAGCAGGGCTTGGGAGACTCTACACCCTGTTCGTTCATGCCCCTGGCGTTAGCCGCAGGGATACTGGCCGCTGCAGACCTCCAGCCCTGCTGCTGAGCCCAGCAACCCAGCGCAGAGATCTATGTGCTCTGAGCTCTTTGTAGGGAAGGCAACAAAAAATGAAAAAATAGAACAGCCCAGCTAAGCTGAAATGTGGAAACGTTCTCCTCAGAGGGGAAGGGAAATAAAATTTGATGAACCTCTGCATAATGTTCGCGTTATGAATGTGCAAAGCGCTATTCGGCACATATGCTGGCGAGCATTCATCTCGGAGCTGGAGCTGCTGGGTGCCGCTGGAACTGGGGCACAGCACACAGCCGCTGCCCACAGTGGAGGACAGACAGGTCCCTGGCATTTCATCAGCAGAATCTGGGCGACCCCTCCAGATGTTGCAGGAGGCTGATCACCCACAGCCAAGGCGACAACTGCCACAGTGTCAACCAGGCCCTTGCAAAGCTCAAGCTGTCACATTTCCTGTTACAAACACTAAGCACCCACTCTGGGACCCCACTGTACCAGACGCCACTGCCTTCCATGGCTTGGGCAAGGTGAATATGTGTTCTAGGTTGCCCTGCCCCCCAGGCCTCAGATGCCCAGCCTGGGACTGAACTCCCTTGCTCTGGCAATTGTGTCCTCCCTCCTGGGGCTTTGGAAAAATAGTAGTGATTGGCAAATTGAAACTGAGTGACTAGAGAAAAGGCTCCTTAATAGCTGAATCCAAACAGTGAGGGGAGTAGTCCAGGTGGGGACAGTAAAGCATGTGCAAAGGCCCTGAGGTGGAGGTACTCTTGGTGCCTTCAGGGGACAGAAAGGAGCCCACATAGAATAGAAAAAACATGATAAAAGTCAGAGGAGGGTCCCTGACCATTAGAGAGGGGTCCACCATGGCACAACCTACGGCTTGAAACCCTCCTGCCTGCCCCAAGGAGTCAGCTCCTTTGTGCCCGGCTCTGCAGCATCCTTTTCCTCTCCTTCCCTGCAACTCTGAAAGGCAAGACTGTACGTCTAGTTTTCCTCCCCAAGAAGCAGACCTATGCTGAGGATCTGGTACAGGTATTTTATTTGGAAGGTGCAGTTTATTCTAGGAAGTGTGGGTGGGGCAGAGGGGAAAGCAGCCTGGAAGGAAGGAACCAGTAAAAGGCGTGAGGTTCCCGCTCAGGGAACCAGAGTCATTGCACCAGGCATGCTGAGGAACAATGCAGAGCAGTCTCAGGACCGTCTCTCCTGGAGGCAGGAAGCTGGGTCCGCAGTCTGCAGCTGCATCAGCTCTGCCAGCGCCAGACTCTTGCACCCTCCAGCCACGAGGTCAGAGATGGCTCCGTGCTGAAGGTCAGCTCTCAGCAGCAAGCAGCCCCTCTGCACCTGTGAGTGCTGCAGCCATCTGGGCTTCATCCTGGCTCTGTGTCCTCTGTTGAGGTAGCTGGACCCCACCGGGGACATTGCTACCTCTGAATTTCTTTGGTTTTGGAGACATTTGTACAGACCTGGTGCCCAGCCCTCTCCCATCACTGGGCAACTTGACTAATGTGTCTTTGCTTCTCTGAGAAAATAGATTTCTATGTAGAAAAGGTCATGAACATAAAATCAAACCCCCAGGGCCCCAGGCCTGGCACACAGTGGGGTCCCCCACATGTCACTGGCTGGCTCTGGCCTACGGCAACTGTCCTCACTCTCCTTTCTCGTGAGAGGCTGCTGCAGGCTGGGGTACAACACAATGGCAAAGCATCTATTCAGCATTGTAAGGCCCTGAGATCCATCCCCGGCACTACCACATTAAAAAAAAAACGTTAACTGAAAAGGAGAAATAGGAAGTGGGGTGCACAGGCTCAGATCTACCTTCTTGGACCCAACACGGGATGGGGTCCAGGTAGCACAGGCTGGGTGAGTGAGATGTGAGTCAGAGCCACCTTGTCACCATCCCTGCTGCCATCAACTGACGCAGGTCAGTGGGGCAGCTAGAGCACCAGGCCATGGTCACAGGGGACAGATCTGTGCTTCTCTCAGCCCAGGGAAGACAGTGCCGCTGAAGAATGTAGGTGGCAGTCCACTAGGGAGCTGCTGAGGTCGCTGACCCACAGACCTGGCTTTGGACGGAGCCAAGAGAGCAGGAAACAGTGAAGGGAACACCAAAGAAGTGCTCAGCCCTGGAGGGAGGCTGAGAAATCCCAGGGTTCTGGTGGCTTCATCAGAGCAAGGCTTCTGGGAGGAGCTTTGCCTAAGAATGTCATCAGCTTTTGAAATCCTCCCATCTATCCATTCATCTGTCCATCCATCCATCTGTCCATCCGTCCATCTATCCATCCGTCCACCTGTTCATCCATCCATCTGTCCATCCATCTATCCATCCACTGATCCATATGCCTATATGGCCTTCCATCATCCTTTCCTCTCTCTATTACTCTATTTATCTATCTCATCCACCCCTACACCTACATACTTTTTCACCCACCCATCTAGCCACCCATCCATTCATCCACTCACCTATTCACCTACTTTTCAATCACTCAACTATCTATCTACAAATCCATTCATCTATCTGCCTGTCTGTTCTCTTATTCATCCTATCCTCCTTCCTTACCTCTTTCCCTACCTCCCTTAATCTACTTACCTACTCATCTATGCTTCTGTTTACTTACCTATCTACCCACTCAATCATCCGTCCATCCATCCATCCATCTGCGTGTCTTTCCTTCCACTCATCCCTCCCTCCATCCATTAACATTTCCACCTACTTATCCATCCCTTTGCTTAACTGATTATCTACCCACCCAAATAACCATCCACCCATCCATTAACCCATCCATCTACCCATTCATTTGCCTCATTTTTCTGCTTTTGCTTCCCTCTTTCCATTAATCTATCTCCCTCTCTGTCTGCCTGTTTATCCTCCCATGCAACTGAACACCCACTCAACCATCCATCCATCCACCAATCCATCCATCATCCATCATTCTATCCATCAACCTACCCAACATTCAGCTATCCATCCCTCCCCTGTCTATCTGTTTATCCATCCAGTCATCACATATTACTATCTCCTTTGTTTCCAAATAGAATCCAAAGACCCAGGAAATCAGATGCCACCTTGACCTCAAAAACCATTGTCATCTAGCAGCTGCCCATTTCTGGGGTCCCATTGTTGGGTCCTCTTTTTCTTAATACTGAACATGGCCTAAGAAGGAAGCCTTGGGTCAGCCTATGTGCCATAGCTCAGGTAGCATGGGACTGAATGCAAGCATTCAAGTTAGGTTCTCTTCTGGGTTTCCTGTGGTCCAATCACATAAGACAAAGGCAACTTCATGCCCCACAAAACCTTTAATGCCCCAAATATTCCAACATGATAGTCCAAACCCCACCTCCCACAACCTATCCCTGTGGCCCCACAGCCCCCCAGACACCTGCTGGGCCACTCCCTCCAGGTTTGTCAAAGGGGCCCTGTGACTTCAGAGGCCAGGTCTTGGGCTTCAGATTCCCAGCAGTGGGAATGGCCAGAGGTGACACCATGGGCACTGACCTCTCCCGGAAGTACTTGATGGCCTCTGGTTCTATGAAGGTCGGCTCCTCCCGGTATCCCTGCTCAAATACCTTGCGCTTGTGCCGGAACTCAATGACTGTCTTGGTGTAGGAGTTGAGAGTGGTGACAGAGGCTGCCATGCAGCAGGTAAAGGAGCCCCACGCCAGGCTGTGAGAGAGCAGGAGAGAGATGCCACAGTGAGGGTGGGTGGGGACAGGAAATCTCCCAACCACCCAACATTCACTCATCCCTGCCTGGCTGCCTTCATGGAGCCTGACTGTGAGAACTGCTGCCTAGAGAAGAGAAAGGTCCGGTGGCTATGCACGTTTTATCTGGAACAAAGAGTAATCCATACCCCGAGATCTAGACATGACTGAGGCCATCAGGGAGAATCAAGAAGACAGCAAGTCATTCCCATCAGAGAGAGGGGCTGGCATCAATGGCTACTACCAGGATACAGTGGTGCTTATGCTGAGCCTGGGAGGATGAGGAAAAGTTGGCCGGGGACTGGCATCCCAGGAGAAAAGGTACACACAGAGAGAAAAGTCAAGAGAGAACATTCCCAGACCATGGGAGACCAGGATGCTGGGGTGAGGATGTGGTTAGTTGGAGGTGATGACGGAGAAGGAGCCGAGGCAGCGCTTTTCTCATGAGTTAGCTCTGTTCACATGTGACCCTGGGTGAGATTCTAAGCCTCTCTGCCTCCTTTTTCCCAGTCCATTTCCATTGACATAGCAATGTCTCTGCCTTGGGGCCTTTTCACAGATTGAAGGACGTGACTCATTAAACACCCCTTAGAGAATCACTGACACATGAGAGGTTCTCGGCAAGGGCTTGCTCACCTTACTGGCCTCATTGTGCAGACATGCTTGTTACCCCCTTCTCTATGGCTTGGTTTCCAAATGCTCTCTGGAAGATAAAGTTACCCCCATCTGCTTGGCTGTCTACACCACACTTCTGTACCCCTGCCCCCAGTAAGGTGCCTGGTTGCTCTCGCATGGTGTACATTCAGAGCCCAGCACAAAGCTGTATATTGTCCTAACTATACCTGGAAGGAAGGAGGGGTAGAGACAGGCCAGGAGACTCAGCAGAGTACAGCTCAGTTCTGGAAATGGCCTCCCACCTGATGCTTGTAACTAAGACTGCACATCCATATTTAGTACCAGGAACGGGGTTCCTGCTTTGTTCCAGTTACACTTGGTCCAGTTTCCAGATCTCTGCTCTCCAGCTTCTGTCTCAATGACTAGCTTCCTCCAAATCAAGGGCTCAGTTTTGCTACCCCAAACCTATACCGCTGAGAGCTCAGGCCTCATTCCTGCCAGCTTCCCACAAACCCGCATCCCCGTGCATCACTGCTGCACTCCGTCAGCCCCACAGACCTCCAGATAGAAAGTAAGGGGACTCTGAGGATTCTGCCTTTTTCAAAGGGATCTTTAATAATCATCTATTTCCTCCAAGGCCAAAACCATTAATAAATTCTCCAGACCCTTTCGTGATAAAGAGCTAATTTAGAGTTTCCAGAAGCCCCGAGTGTCAGTAAGTGTCAAGCTGGTGCCTCTAAAAACTTTCCTACCACTGGAGGGTCCAGTATGATGACTGGGTAAGGCTGGACATCTAAGCAAAGCTGGTCTGATCAGATGCTGTCTCCTGAGCGGTGGAGCTGAGCGGTTTGGTATTCCTCTTGGTACTCTGTTATGGAAACGCAGACCTTGACAGTGGAGAGTGGTAGAAGAGATTTATTCTGGGATTCCAGAGTATCTTGGCTTTGCCTGATCAACAATCATTGTTCCTTCCTTCCAGGATCAATTCATCCCAAACTCTAGAGTAAGCACATGACCTAGGCTCAGCCAATGAGAGCACTGCATTCTCTGACATCAGTCACCAATTCAGGCATGGCCATGTAACCCAGGTCATGCCCAGGAGACTCAATCCCAGGGCTCTGGCTCAAGCCACGCGGAACCAGGACTCACTGGACTTCTAAGTATTAGTCTGCTGGCTTTCAACCAGGAGCCATCAGGGACCATCTTGCCACCACCCAGCCTGACAACAAGGTTCAAGAGAAAGCAGCCAAAGTCTTTACCCTGCACTTGTCAATCATGGGAGCCAAAGTTCCTCATCTGGGTTTCTCCTCTTAAGTCAGTTTGAATTGGGTTTCTGTCATGGGCAACAAAAGTTCTTACACAGTGCTCTCCATAATTTCCCTTCTTTGGCATTCACTTTCCAATGCCAATTTATAGTCTTTAAAGTCACAGATTTTGAGGTGAATTTCTAGTCTTCACTGCAGAAATTTTAATCATGACCAAGTCTGACTTCCAATCCAGCCAGGAGATGGAACAGAAGGATCTCAGGCACTCAAACTGGAGATCTGAGCCAAGTAAAACGTCCTGTAGGAGCAGTGGAGAGACCTCTAAGAGAATTGAGAGGCCGTTGCCAGGAGGAACAAAGTGTGCTGGTGAGGCCGAGCATAACTCATGGCAGCCCAGCTCCGCCATTTCCCCTCCATTGTATTGGTACAGAGAACATCCTAGAGTGAAAAAGAATCTTCAGCTCCATTGCTCAGGAGAGAATACCTGGTTGGACCAGCCCTGATGTGTGGTGGGGAGTTTTCCCAGGGAGGATGTGGATTTGCTAAACCCCAGTTTCCAGAACCAGAAGGTACAGGGCTGGAGTAGAGGCAGACAGGTAACTGCTGGACAGGTCCAAAGCCAGCTGACCTGTGCTACCTTTTCATCTGGTGTACATACACAGGTGGAGTCAAGTCAGCTGCCCTTGAGCTGATTCCCCTTGTTGCAGGCACGTGGCCTCCTTTCTCCTTCCCAGATGCTAATCTGATCCGCGACCCCACTGCCTGCAGCAGGATCCTTGGACTTCCAATATGTTTTCCCAGGTTCTCTCCCCAATCCCTGGCAACCACTAATCTGTTCTTTATTTCTATAATCTTGCTACTTCAAGAATTTTACTGTAAGTGGAGCCTTACAGTGTGTATGCTTGGGTTCAACTTTTTTTTCACTCAGCATAAGTCTCTGGAGAATCATTCAGGTTTTGGGAGGTATTTTGCATGTATATACTAACAGTTCCTTTGTTTATATTGTTGAATGTATTCCTGCCAGCAATGTATGTTTCTCCAGATCCTCACCAGCATTTGGTGATGTCTCTACTTTTTATTTTAGCTATTCTGATAGATGTGTAAGAACAGTTCACTGTGGCTTTAATTTGTATTTTCCTAATGGCTAATGGTATGAAATAACTTTTTATTTATTGACTTACTATCTATATGTTGTCTGTGGTAAAAGGTCTGTTCATATCTTTTGCTCACGCCCTGCTTAGGTGGTTTTGTTGTTGTTCCTGAAGCTGTTTACTGTTGGGTTTTGAAAGTTCTTTATATATTACTAGATATTAGTCCTTTGTCAGATATGTGGCTCATGAATATTTTCTCTCAATATCTACTTTTTCTTTACTTCTCAATATGGTCTCTCATAGAACAAAAGTATTTAATTTTAATGAAATCAAATTGATTAAATTTTCAGTTTATGATTTTGATTGATCAGAATCTAAGAACTCTTTGTCTAGCTCTAAGTCCCAAAGATTTTCTACTATATTTTCTAAAAGTTTTGTAGATTTACAGTTTGCAACCTGGCTGTGATTCATTTTGAATTAATTTTTAGAAAAAAATGTGTAGTCTAGATAAAAGCTGATTTCTTTAGTCCATGAATGTCTAGTAGTTTCAGCATCATTTGTTAAAAAATTTAATCCCTCTTTCACTGAATTGATTTGCGCATTTGTCAAAACTTAGGCATATGTGTATACATTTATTTCTGGGACTTTATTCTATTCCATGATCTATGTCACTATCCCTCCACTAATATGCAGTTTAGATTGCTGTAGTTATATAGTAATCTTGAAGCAGGGTACAATGATTTGTCTCCCTTTATTCTTCTTTTATAAATTTGTTTTAGTTATTCTATTTTCTTTTTCTCTGCATATAAATTTTAACCCTGTAAGACTGCTTCATGTCTGACATCTAACAAGTGATTATAAATTTATTATGCATTAAAGTCTTTTCATCTATCATTAGCAAAGCATGCTATTCCCCTCCCCCAACTCTCAAGCCCTCTAATATCCGCCTAACACATAATATAAAGCAATTTATTCCTTATTATATACTTAGTAAGAAAGCTCTCAAAATAGACTTTTATTTAATAATGTCTAATAAACAGGAACTTTTTTATGACTTCCATTTCACTACTGTAATAAGCCATCGCTATGGCTGTTATCCAGCTGGACTTCTGCAGAGCAGAATAATGAAGTGGAAATTGGCAGCCTGAAAACCACTCTTCCTCAAGAAATCAGTCCTGAGAGAATTCTGCAACAAACTGGTCCTGAAATTGATGCAGTCGTGACATAGTTAGAGACCACCATTGGGTGAGAAACAGTCAAATCCCAGACCCTTCCCTTATTTTCATTAAAAGCATTATTTGTACCATACATGGTGATATACATCTATAATCCTAGAATTAGGGAGGCTGAGGCAGGAGGATCACTATGCATTTGAGGCCAGTCTGGGATACACAGCGAGCTCAAAGCCAACCTAAACTACACGGAAAGACCCTATCTCAAAAAAACAAAAACAAGCCGGGTGTGGTGGCTCATGCCTGTAATCCCTGCACTCGGGAGGCTGAGGTGGGAGGATCGTTGCAAATTTGAGACCAGCCTGGACTACAAAATGAGCTCAAGGCCAGCCTGACTGCATAGTGAGACCCCATCTCAAAAAGACAAAAAAGAAAAAAGAAAAAAAAAAGAAAAGAAAAGAAAGAAAAAAAGTATTGTTTGTGGATTTTTTTTCCTTGGGGAGTCAGGGACTTAAAAATCATTTTTGCTGTAAAATATGACTCTTCACCTGGATCTACAGATGCTCAACCAAGTAACCAAAAACAGAACAAGGCTAGATCTTCACTTTGCATCCTCAGTTACTGTGGGTGCGATCTCCTCTCCATTCTGCATTTGGATAAGTTGATCATTTAATTCTCCAGTCAGCTGCTGGGACAGGACAGGACTGATTAGCTCCGAATTTATATGATCACAAAACATGAGCCTCAAAACTGAGAACATCAAGATTAAAAGTTTACAGCGGCATTCAGCTGCCACAGAAGTCTTTAAACATTTTGCAA